GGGGGGGGGGGGGGGGAATAATTTTGGAAAGTATAAGAAAGGTATGATAATTAATTGAAATGTGTAAAATGTCTAAAGATATAAATGATTGTTAATACCAGTGATTAGGCTATGTTATAATAGTGAAACTATTCGTGAAATGAGAGGTTTGAAGAAGGAGAGGGGAACATGTAATGTAATAATGATTTATAATATGTGATGTGGGGGATGGAATTAATATGGCAAATAGGTGCTCCCATAGAAATATGTGATCTAATTGATAAGAAATGTGCTAGATGTTTAAGATATGAATAAATATTAATATTAATGAATAGATTTGTATTGGTTTTGATGATATTGTATAGTGTTAGAATGTACCAGACAGAATCCCAACGTAAGTTATGTACTTTAAATCAAGTATTATAAATATAGGGGAAAGAGACATAGGCGTCACACTCCAATCAGTGTACAGGAGAAGGTTTTTCTTTTTTTTTCTTTTAAGAAGAAAGATAAACGGATAGTTGGAAATAGAACAGACAAAGAATAAATATTATGATTTGAATTGAGAGGAGATAAATAAAATAAAATTGAGAAAATTTAAAAGAAAGGAGAAGCTATATAGAAAAATGAAAATGTAATAAGATATGGAATGGTATGTAAAATGAATATGAATTTGAATGTGTGTCTGTACCAAGAGTTTTGACCCGGGATTAAGCAACTTTCAGAAAAGAGATTTTTTATGTTTTTATGTCTTGAATTTTTGTATGTTTTGTATGTCTTTAAAAGTTAATAAAATTTGTTAAAAAAAAAAAAATCCGGCTAGAGAGTCATGATTTCAATGGGGGCAACTACCGGACCCCTGACATTTTCTATTTTCCACGGTGTTGTCCAAGGCGAGAACATTCAACAGAGGGCTCCCTATCTCCCCTGGGAGGATTTGTCAATAAAACCCATCAAGAAAAATCGATCAAGATGAACGTGGGAATGGAGGACTTACTTTCTCTGGATCATTCAATCCGATCCAGACACTGGACCCGGCGCTGGCCCTGTGGTAGACCAGCCTGACGATGAAGGCTGCCTCTGGCTTGCTATGGATGGAGGCGAGGTGGCAGTTTGTCTCTTGCTGCAGGCAGAATCTCTGTCAGGGAGCAACAGGAGAGAAAGAGGCTTGTTTAGCCGAGAAGCAGATATGCATGGTTGTTTCTATGAGAGAAGAAGAGCCAGGGTTTGATTGCGTGGTCCTGATTTTGTTGCAGAGGTGGGTATTCAACCAGTCCTGACCGGTTCTGCAAAACCGGTAGTGGAAACGTTGAGTAGTTCGGAGAACCGGCCAATCCCATCACTGACTGGCCCCGCCAACCCCATATCTCTTCTCCGCCTCCCATTGAGTCCCAGCTGATCGGCTGGGTCTCCTTTGGTTGCCCTGCCCAGGAGAACGGAGCTGGAAAGCAGGTTAGTGGGGTGGGGACGGAAGGGGGATTTTGCAGTATATCCTCCCCCTGCCACGCCCACCAAACCGTGCCACACCCACCAAGCCACGCCCACAGAACCAGTAAGTAAAAAAAATGAATCCCACCACTGCCTCGCAGGGTTGTTGTTATGGGGGAAAATGAAGGGCAGAGGACTATTCTGTGTATGGCGGCCACCTTGAGTTATTTGTAAAAAAAAAAAAAAACAGAATAAAAACAAATCTAACAAAACCACATTAAGAAATGTGGGGATTTATGGCAGGAGTGGAAGAAAGCAAACCAGGAAAGTTGCAAACCGTTCTTTTTAATCGGCCCCGTATGCTACCCATAAGCAATAAGCACTTAGATTTGTATACCGCTTTACGGTGCTTTTACAGCCCTCTCTAAGCAGTTTACAGAGTTCGCATGTTGCCCCCCCAACAATTTTGGGTCCTGCTGCCATCCTCCTATCTTATGCCCAGAGGCAGGGGAGGAATTGTCAGCTACGGGCAGCAAAGGTGACCCCGGGCCTGTTTCCTGCCGGCTCAAAGACTGGAGAAGGGAAGTTCAAATGGACTCCGAGGAAAAGTCCTCAAAATATCTGGATTTCAGGCTATCGGAAGAATGTTCGTCTTTGCCATGTATGCAGACATCCCAGCCTGGTGGCCTCTACCAGCTTAGCCAGAGGGGTCTTCGAGGGTCTTCAGGGCTCTGCCTAGACTTCTCCTCTACCAGGGCTAAGAGATTCGCAAACATTTCTGACCTCTGCATTGTTCCAGGTCACGGATCTGTTGTAGACCATGTAGCAAAACTCATTATAGGAGGCCCAACCGCTAGGACAATGATGATCAGCTCCAGTTCCTGTGTAGGAGGAGAAGGGAGAGAGAGAGAGAGAGATTGAGAGAGAGAGATTGAGAGAGAGAGAGAGAGAGAGAGAGAGAGCAATGAGAAGATGGCCAGGAGAAGAGGAGGAAGAGGAGACGGCTGGAGCTGCAGAACATGCTTGGCCTGCTAAGTTGCAAACATCTTTGATGACGATAAATTGCAGCTGACCTTTCGTGATATTTGCAGATTGTCCAAACCTTGGTTAGAGTCAAAGGGGGGGAGGTGAGCTGCTACTGGTTCGCCCTGGTTCGAGTGAACCGGTAGCTAATTTTAATCAGTTTTAATGACCAGTTCGGTAAACCGGTACATCTCACCTCTGGCTGGCCCCACCCCTCCCAGGGGTCCCCACACAGCCAGTTTTGGATGCCAGGTGAATACAGGGCCTGGGAGGATGCAAAAAACGGGCCTCCCAGAAGTTTGGAAAAGCCAGAAATGAGCCCATTTCCAGCTTCCAGAGAGCCTCCGGAGCCCGTGGAGGGCAGAAAAGCCCCCACCCCACCCCGCCATGGTGCAGGAGGCCACCTAGGCCATGCCCACCGTGGCCACGCCCACCCAGCAACTGGGCAGAGAACCCATTGCTGAAATTTTTGAAGTCCCCCCCTGGTTAGTCCTGGTTAATTCCCTGGAAGCTTCATATCTGGTGTGACTCTTTCCACTTGGGTTGATTTATCATTCAGTGAATGGTGCAAAGGAACCTCCATGACCAAGGCATGCATATTTGCAAAGGGTTTAACTTCTAATTAATTCTCCATTTCAATCCTGTTGAGTTTGCTTTGGTTTTGTATCATTGCAAACAGCCCTGAATCTTAGAGCAGAGAAATAAGGTGGGATATACATTGCAGAATAGGCCAAGCAGGAATAAAAGCAACTTTGGGGGCAAGGATGCCAGGAGGGTCAAATCAGGAAGAGGTTTGAGATGCACGAGCATCGGTTTCTCCGGACCCCAGAGGCTAAACCCATTTGGTAGAGCACCCCCCAGGCCATGTGCTTATTTATTTATTACATTTATGGGTCGCCCATCTCGCACTTAAGGAGCATCGTCGCATCCCCACGTCACGTCCTCAAAATTCGGGCACTTGGCACCTGGCATGTATTGACGATGAGGGCAGCGTCCCTGGAGTCTACTAGAGGCTTTTAAGAAGAGATTGGACAGCCATTTATCCCGAATGTTACGGGGTTTCCTGCCTGAGCAGGGGCTGGACTAGAAGATCTTTACGGTCCCTTCCAACTCTGTGATTCTGTCACGGTCACCCTGCTGGAACTCACCCCTTAAGGAGAGGGCCACGACCAGCAAGCTGAAGCTCACGACGATGAATTGCGCCATGGTCTTCCTTCCTTCCTTCCCTGCAGAGAAGAACAAAGAGGGAAGAAGTGGGAGAGGAACTAGGCTGGTGGTAAGGGGAGTGAAAAGAAAGTATACCCACAGATGAGAAGGTAATAAAAATAATATTAGAATGTGCTGAACTGGACAGGCTAAAACAACGGAACTGAAAGGTAAAGAGGAAACAGAATGCTACTTCACATGGGATACATTGCATAAATGGCTAAATAACAGGTGCAGAGATTAGTATTCAATGAATGAAAGAAGGTCAAGAAAATATAAATACAGATATATTGAAATATGTAAGAATGCACAATATAAGCAATGCCACTATTGGGTTGTACATAAATATAGTTTAAAATGCATAGAATGATAAATGTAATAGCGTACTATGGCACACATACGAAAATAATAGTTATAAGTACAACGTGCAACACCATGTAATCAAAAGAGACTATATGACTACGACAATAATAGTTATAACTAGGATGTATACTATAATGTAAAAAAAAAGGACTTGATATAACCAGTACACTGACGTGGTAAAATTGGAAATGTGATGAATAATAACGAAAAATGCATAATAAATTTTTTTTTAAAAGGAAGGGGGACCCAACATCCAACCCAGGACCAAGTTTGTTTCACATTTTTACACTTGCCCAGCTGGACATAATTTCTCCCTCCTTGGTCATCCAGCAGCCTTAGTGGGTCACAGTGGATCCTGCATTGCTCTGTAAAGGGCAGAAGGGGCTTCCCTGGGAATCTCTCTCTCCTGTACGTCTCTTTCTCTTCCCCAGAGATCTCTCTAGACCCTTTGCTTCCTGCCTCCCCCAGATCTCCTGCTGCAACTGGACATCATGCACAACCCCTGCAAGAATTCCCTTCTGTTGGAGAAAGAGACACAGAGTGATCTGATGTAGGGGGTCTCATCTGTCAGGTGCCCCCAGGTGGGAGAGTCGCACTCACCTGTCCCTTTGCCTCCCCAGGTATCAAGTCTGCTCAGGGAATGGAGGCATTTATAGGCAAGGAAAGGCAGGGGTGGGAGGCGAGTGGATTTCTTGGGGAGGGAGAGCGGAGGGAGGAGGAAATTGCTTCAGAAGGGAAAATTTTGGTTTAACCACAAGGAAGTAGCAGAAAAGAACTTTAATCCAACAGGATTTACATTCTTCCAGGACAAATCTCACACAGAGATCCGGCGATTTGTAATCGTCCCTGAGGCCATCCAGCCAGCCCCTGCTCAACACCAGGGACACATGGCTAACAGAGAGAGATAGAGAGAGAGAGAGGGAGAGAGAGAGAGAGAGAGGGAGGGAGGGAGGGAGGGAGGGAGGGAGAGAGAGAGAGAGAGAGAGAGCACCTGGGTCTTGGGGTCTCTGTAGGCAGGCTGACTTTCTCTGTTTGTGAGCGAGATTTCTCAAACTTTCCTTCAGGACCTGCAGGAATGAACAGCTCCCAGCATCCTCCCCAGGGAGGCCTTCGCTCCCTTCCCACAACAGGCCAAGACCTCAACCCGGGTTAAGAATCTGCCGAATGAGCCGCTGGATTTTCCAGAAAAGCCAAACCACAAACCACACAGGTGTTTTCACTGGAAACTCCCTACACAACACAGAAGGATAGGAAGCTGAACAGCCGAAAAAGACCTTGTGGTCCATCACAATTTATGTTGGTTTTATTTTATTTCTCTATTTTCTTTGGATGAGCAACTTTATCCCAGCCATGTTCAAACTCAGTTACTGAGGACTGGCCCGTCCCCTGTGCTGGATGCTG